CACCTTGCAGGAGGATTAGTTAATCCTCAAATACTTGGTTAAATGTTTTCTGAAGTAAACAATTCCACATTTACTTTTCCTGTGAAATTTTTTTAATAACCTCATTTTTTTTATTCCATATTAATTCAGTCAAAGCAGTTGTCTCTGTTCTTAAGATTTAAGTATTTTTTTTAATTAACTAACCATCGTGTTCTATTACATTTTTCAGTTTGCTCCTAGTTTAACTTTATGTGTATGGCTTAGAGTAACAGGCCAAAATCTATTTTTGCAGTATTACTAAACAGCTTTGAGACATTGTTATTCATGGTTTAGTTTTATTTTATTTACAGATACTGATTAATGTATGTTGCACTCCTAGGAGGGGAAATTCAGGCAAAAGACACAGTGCAAACTCCTACAGTTATAAATCAGATAATGTGTGATTTGAAATTCATTTAAAGCAGATGAGTATTTGAGAGACCATTCAAATGGTATGTGCAGAGAGTACATTGTACAGGACTGAGATCATGTAATCACTAATAAATCACACATAGAAAACAGCAACAGCAGCAGTATACTTTCCCACATCACACAGAATAAATCGCCTTCATAAAGCTGCTGAAGTTTCAAGGAGAGGTTGTATGAGTTACACATTTTCTCACTGACAGTAAGTTGTAGTAGGTAAACCTCATAAACAGGCCTGGCTGGTGTTTATGAGGCAGAGGAACTTCAGCTGTAACGGCTGCTGTGCTTTGCATACCCTGCTTCCTTCATTACAGCTTGGCGACCCATTCCCTTTGCTGTAGCTGAGCCCTCCGTGTCCCCGTGTACGTTTGGGTTTCTGCTGGTGGTTCCACATTCTGCATGCTTTCCTAAAAGCAAAGCAATGCGCTTTCCCATAAACGTCACAGATTATGGGTTAGCCTCCTGCAGGCTTTGTGTTCCTGAGAAACGGGCTCTTTCTGGTGGTGATAACTCACATCTTGACGTCACTGTTCTGGATTGTTCTTCATGTTGTGAAATTGAGTTGAAATGTACTCCCGTAAGAGTTAGCTTTTCATATTGGGCTGGAAACTCTCCATCTTTGTGTAGCAATTTGTTTTATTATAACCAATGGCTTTTAATTGTACCTCCCATAATGAAGAGCTGACTTAATACTCTGTGCTAATCTTATTATGACTTTAAAAAGGTAAGTAATTTCTCTAACCATTCCTAACAGTCATGGTAAAATCTTAAAGGATTTATCAATTTTCATTTTTTTCTTTATTTTTTACATGAATTTTTCACTTGTAGCATAAATTTTTCTTTGTGTCTTCCTCTATTTTTCTTGTAAAAATTTTTATGTGGACCGATTTTTTTTTTTTCAGCAAAACATGTCGTGTAAATTTAAATAAATCAAATTTAATGCAGTCATTGATTTCAGTTTTTCAGACCAATCATGATTGATAGATACAAATTGTCATCAGGACTCTTTATTTTACCATTCCCTTAATTTATTTTTGAGTACTTTATTTCACATTCTGTTTGCTACTTCAGCCTATGGGAGAAAATTTACTCTGCATTCCAGCACAATGAAATTCTATCTTAAAGAACATAAAATCCAGTTCGCTTAAAAAACGGAGTAATGTGAATTGAATATTTTGGGTATGGTTGCATTCTACCTCAAATACCTAGGGGTATGGTACTGGCTGCTAGCTCACTGTATCTTCTGACAAGGTGCATTGTGAGCCAAGAAGCTGTAGGATGGACAAACAATAAATTTATACTTTCCCTGTGAAAGGAGAGACAGTCATAGGTTGTTATTTCTGTAACTACCTGTGAATTAGAATAACTGTAGTAAAAAATACTAGTAATCACTTGCCCCAGTCAGAAATATACTTGTACTTAGTACTAGCTGTGGAAAGAATACAGATTTTTTCATAAATGTCACAAGTAACAAAGGAGTAAAACATATAAATAATGAATATGATATAAGGCACTTAAAGCACATGACCCCATTTAGACAAAGCTCCATTGCTGCTAAAACTGGATGTGTTAGAAAACTTCTGGGCTCTCCTCAAAATCATATTTTACTGCAATTTTGTTTAAAAATAACATTTAGTATATGAATGTGCAATTCATATTAAACAAACGGAAGTATTATGTAATAACTAATTTCTATGTCAGTTATGTTAAAACATGGTTTGTATTCTGCAGCTGTGAGCATAGGTTGGGAAACAATCAAGTCTAGCTGATCAAGCCTTTTATTTTAATATCATGGATTCCTCTTCTACAGCTGCTTTAAAATTTGTGGGAAGCAAATTATTTCTCATACTGCATATGTTGCTCATCAGGTGAGTGATAACATGGAAACTGTAGGTTGGGTGTAAGATATCAAAAGGTAAACTCAAAGTCCTCTGTGTGCACAGAATTAAAAAAATGACCTGTAAGAGGCTGCGTGTGAAGCCAGCTGTCTTTTGTTACCATTGTCATTTGGACACTGTAAGAGCAAAACTTTGTCAGCACGTTTTATATTAGAAGATTTGATCTGCAAATCTCAGCTGCTCTGTTCATTATAAATCTCTTGTTTTTGTCCATACGCTAGCTCCACTATAGGTTGGAAGGGCTTAAAGATGAACTGAGGAGGAATAGAGGCTACAACTCGAGAGTAACTATTACTGCTCAAAGGAGCTGTTTTCCATTCGCAAACATTGCTTTGCGCTATGGGTTTGGGCTCCTTCTGTTCCTCCACTTTGTTGAAGACTTTCTTGACTTCCATTTTACTTCTTTAGCACTGTCTTTGTCTGCTAACATTTTTCCTCCTTCTCTAGTAGCTTTTATCTGTGTCCTTTGGATCACATATTTTACTTAGTTTGTTTTAGTAGATTGTTTCAAATGTTTGTGTTTTGTATTTTTTTTGGTTTTGGTTTTTTTTTGCCTTTTTCTTTAGGACTATGTTGTTACCTCACTGAGTTTCATTCCACAGTTTGCTGAATTGCTTGGTTATTTTGCAGCAGGCCCATTCTTCATTTTCTCTTTTCATATGGTTTTCAGTGAGAAATAAGAGAGCCTCTTCCATTTTAAACAGTAGTCTTACACACATAGGCCCATGTCTCCTTTTGCACACACCATCTTCTGCCTTGCCACGTCCACCCTGCTTCTCTCTCTCTCTCTCTCACTTTGTGCCTCTCTCTTTTGTGCTTTCTTTCCTACCATTATACCATCTTTTTGGTCCAGAATTGTCCTTTGGTAAATTTTAGGTAAATATTTACTTCTTCCAAAGAGAGTTCATGTCATGCCTTTGAAATCTGGTGAAGCAACTCTGGGCCAAATTTGGGCATCATTAATATTTTGTTGGCAGTTTCCTTGTATAGTATTTTTGGTGGGAAGGAGGGAGGGCTTGGGGGGTTTTGTTGGTTTCTTTTAAAAAAAAGTTTTTTTTCAGGGAAGGACACCATAACCCACTCTAAGTTGCAACATTACTTTCCATAAGTTATTCCATTACAATGAGTAGACTGTGTTGCGCTGTAGAATCTGATTTTTTTTTTTTTTTTTATGTGAATATACATTTGGGGCAAGCTGCTGTGGAACAGAAGAAAGAGGTTAAAAAGTTGGGGCACAGTTGTTTTCAGCCTTAAATGGTTGTTCCTTTCTGAAGATAGCTTTTTGGAGGTTGAATGTGTACCATTCTTCATTGATGATTAGATCATACAGACTCACTTTCTAGGCAATTTTTCTGTAACTGTAAGTTGAAACTGTAGTCTGAAAGATAATCTGGATTCACTCCTTTGCTTTTTCAGCAGAGACAAACATTCTGCAGGGAAGTTACACCCTCAGTGTCACCTGTGCTATTCCACTTCTTTCACCACATGTACACAGTTTTACTTTATTAGTCCTCTCACTGAAATTTAGTGAATTCATTTGTCAATAAAGTAGAAGAGAGGAGGATGTCAATCATACTCTCTCAGAGGTTTGTCTTCCCATAAAGTTTATTTTAGCTGGGGTTTTGTCCACAAAGAAAGCTTTTTATTCAAGTGTTACCGGTTTAGTCAGCTGCTCTGCCAGAAGATATATTACTCTTCAAATTAGTTGATCTAAAAACTTGCAACTTTAGTGTTACTATACAGTGTGCTATCTTTCCAAACCTGAAAAGAATTAACAAGAACTGATGTTTCAATATAGATAGATTTTAAACTGTGTTGTGTTTACAGGACTGATTATCTTCAAAAAAACATTTTTTTAAAAAAAAACCTGCATGGTAAACAGATGGAACTCTAAATTAGTGTTACTAGAATATTAGACCAATGTGAATTCTCCAATTTTCCTGGAGTCAGACTAATGTATCTGGAATAGCACAGGGGCAGCTAAGTATCTAGGAAGAGGATTTGTCATTCTCACACAGTTACTTTTCAAAGTAGAATTGCCCAGTAAAAGTTGTACTGAACACAGCGTTTCTTTTAACCATACAGAAACTGAGTAAATTTATCTGACTCCAGCCAGGAGCTTTGTATACAATTGTGAGTTGCTTATACAATTGTGAAGAAGGCCTGATTAAATATCTACAGAATCAACACAATCTAAATTGAGTATTTTAAACTCTTTCTGTGATACCTGAAGATATCAATAATAGAATTATAAAGCAAGTCATGATAATGTAGTTGTGTTAGTATTTTGTCTAAACATAAAACAAGCCCTATATTCAGAGTTACTGTAATTACAATTGTGTGAGAAAATGTGGATTTTCTGTTTAAAACTGGAGCTTAAAACTTTATTTAACCAGTGTGTTCTTTGATTTTACTCTATTATTGTCCTTAGGCCATCTTGTTTCTTATGAGGAGGGAGTAGAATCAAATTGCTTGAATCAGATTCTGACCATCAGCTACTCTACCCTTCTGCTTAAATATCCTATGTAGAGCTTGTAAGAATGTTGCTGAAAATATGTGTAGCCTCTCTCTTAGATCCCAGGAGCTTGCCCATTATATCTCTGTATTTTGCATTCTTGTTAACTTCTGTAGCTCATAGATTCTGTGCTCTCTCTGCAGGTCCAGTCTAGGTGCAGCAGCAAGGAGAACATCCTTAGAGCAAGTGAGTACTGAAACTTCATAGCTTTATTGAGAAACTAAGACTTCTCAGAAGACTGCAAATGATAGTCAGATGAGAAGTGAAGGTTATGACTGGGACAAAAGTGGGTTTGAAGAAGAAATTTAATAGCTTAAGACTATGAAATTCAGTCCAAAGAGAAAAGCTTCAATAGCTCATGGTGTTTGTGTATTAATGGATAGTTGCCTTTTAAATTGTGTTGTTTGTGGTGATGTATTGTAAATGGTCATATGTGTGCAAGTTTTTTGGGCGAAAAGAATCAACACTCAAAGGAAAGGAAAATGGAAATTCTCAAGTTAAATATAGAATTTTTGTTTTCGTACGTGAACATGAAATTCAGTGTTGGGTGACATAAAGCCAAAAATGAAAAGGTTGAGAATTCAGATTTGATCCATAGAACTTTTTCCTTAATTTGCTCAGTTCCTTTCCTTTGTTTTATGGGAATATTTCCTAATTAAAAATTTCTACCACCATGTGTGTGTATATATAAAAGCAGAAATAGGAAGTTGTTCAGGTGATAACAGAGAAGGCTGCGAAGAATTTCCTACCTTGTGCAGCCAATTGACTTAGCTGCTTCAAAGCCAGAGGATTATTTTTTCATAGAAAATACTCCTTAATATAAATAGTTATTTTTAGAGCTATCATACTTTTGACATTACTGAAATACAACTTGGGAAAGGCTGATGAGTTGTTTAATGTCATTTACTTGTAATTTAAAAGTACCACTTAGTAATTTTGGAGTTTAAAAAATCATTAGTTGTTTGTTTCCAGTCTGTTTAAATGTGTGATACCTCCAAAACAAGAGCTAACATTTATTAGTAGGAGAAGTAGGGAGAGAGAAGGGCTAGTAGTTACACATGTCTGTCTCTTTTCTTCA